TCGCTATCTGCACTCACTGGTGACATTTGGTAAGGAAAGATCTATGTGTTAAATTAATTCAGTGTTTAAATATGTGTCAGTAACCCGGTTAGAGAATTATTAGAATCGGGGGTGAAGGTGCAGCAATCAGCCAGTTACAAATATGACAATTATTTGTAATGGAAACCTTTCAATAACAAATATGAAAATAAATTGATAACAAATTGGACCTGTGGCGGGACTCCAATATTTGACCAGCGTATCTCCGCCAAAGTCTCTCTCCTTTTCTCGTAGTGTGATCAATGATATAGCCGCCCAGCCAAGTAACAGTCGAAGCTTGATAAAGGGTGAAAATAGAACTACCTTTACAGTTGTCACAGTGCATACATAAATATACAGACCCCCAGCAGGGGGTCGGTAACAATAATAATACAGATCTCACCCAGGAGCCTCTGTGTCTGAGAAATAACTAGATTGAGAATTGTTAATCTACTTAATTTTCAGACATCAGGGTGCCTTAAGAATATACCAAAACATACATTTCTCCACAAGTAAACCCCAAATATCAGGTATATTCGGATAGCTTAAACCGCCATCTGTATACAGTTCAAATAGCGCCCTAATACTCTGTACGATGTAAGATCTCCACCCGGTTAAAGGTTTGACTGTCTGCGGCTGACTTCCAAGCCAATGACTAGTTCTATGGGCTGGCCTGAGTTAGCAGGCTGTGTCTGAGGACCTAGCCTGCATAGATATTTTACCATATGGTCGTTTTTCAGGGCTATTGGTCTCATAGTGTCTGGTAAGAGAAGGTAAGAGCCACAGCAAGGGGATTATAAGTCTTTTCCACTTAGTTAGGATATTCTCGTAACAGATCCTATCTAGACTCCATGATGCAGACCTAGTATTGGTAAATAGATTGATCAGACCGGCTTCCATTGATGGCTTCTCATTGTTTTAAAGGTTTGTAATGTAACAGTGTTCAGGGACCAGTCATCTATATTTCTGTTACTATCTCTCATTTCTTAACAATTATCTCTCACCTGACACAGCTGTGGCCCTTTGTGCCCCAAACATTTCTGCACAGCTGTTCCCCCTCTCTCTCATGTGCCGTGTTTCAGCATTAGGAATTCTGTGTCCAGGGAATTTGTGGAAGGAGCCAACAGCAATATGTGTGTTGGCGAGTGAGCGTGTATCTGCAGCCAGGTGAGGCACAGATCCAGTCCCCACTGCCAGGAGAATACAGAAAGCGCAGCTTTTGGTATAAATATCAGCAGAAAATAAACAGGTCGGCTGGAGTTGTAGACAGACGATGTCTGCCAGAGATGCTGGGACATTCACCTCTAGGACTGCTGGACATCCTGAGTTCCCTGAGCTCGTAAGACATGTTCATTGCACTTATAAAGACCAGGCTTGAGATTCTGCTATTTATACCCAGTTTTACTTGGGTGTCTGTACCCTGCCAGGCATTTGGCTAATGCCTGGCTTGTGTCTCTGTCTTATTAAGGCCAATAAAGCAAAGAAACTAAGAAGATCAGAGGTTCTCAAATCCTTGACTTGGCTAAAACTATCTGCTGGCCCTCTTCCATTAAACAAATAAAATTGTTCTATTTTACTCGTAATCGTGAGTCCTGTTTGTGGTCAGTCCCAATTTTCCGTCTGACAGTAATAGCACACGTCGCTGGAGAACTAGGAATGACTGACATTTCCCATGGTAACATCCTTAAGGTAATTTTTCTAGAATCCATGTCTCAGGTTATATCCCTTGGTTCCAGGCCTGTGGATGTAAACAGATGTTACAATCACTCCCATTTGGAGCCAAAGTTATTTTAACATGTCCGTATTTTCCAAGTTTTGTGTGATCATTTAGCACAAGACCGGTCAATTCTTTAGCAGTTGATACTGTGTCACAACTCTTTTCTTTTGACTCAATATCTCTTACCCCTAAATAAAACACAGAAGACCACATCTCCCAAAATACACAACATGTATTTGTGTTTATATATACATATAATTATTCCCATTTATATAGTGATTAGGAATGGGGTATTTGTGACGAAGTGCCCTTCGCCACTTGGTCCTGGAGAGGCCTACTTGCCAGCCTCCTCCCCTGTGACTATGACTCTTTAATGTATCTGGCTTTAAAGCCCCTAGTCTACCTTCAGACAGACTATTTATGTAGGCTGCTTTATTTATCTTATGTTTTAGTCACCCTGTACCCATTATAGGTGCAGGGTGTGTGTAATGTAATTGTTTATAGTGTGTGTGTGTGTACTGTGTAATGTATTGCCTGCTCTCTTGTATTGCTGAGGTTTGCTACCAACTAGGTGGGTTTGGCTATGGAGCTTGTCTAGTGCCCTCTGTTGGTAGCAACAGCAATATGCACTACCTGAATTGCAAGACTGGTTCATTTGCATATTCGGGTAGATTTGCATATTGCTAATTCTGCAGGCAGGTGAGATATTTACTGTTAAATATTGTCTCCCCCCACCCCTTTAAAAATGTGCCATTGTGTTGTGATAAGTCACTGTGTGTTTCTTGATATGGTTTGACTGTTTGTGATTTTATTGAGGTTTCACAACAATGTTATTGTGGTGACTGTATTGGCTGGTCCCAAGGGAATAAAGGTTTTGACAGTTCTTCTTGATCCCTCTAAACGTAGCCTTGTCTCGTTATTGGAGAGAGCTGTTATAATCACACTGGGGATTGCTATGCTCTGCATGCTCCCCTGAGCTTGAGTCACTTAGCTCTTTTAAGAGCTTGTTCCTGACACGCTCTCCTTGGAGGAGGGGTCTTCACCACACAGTCCTGGATGCTGGAGGTTTGTACAGGGTGGAAGGAAGAGTTCTTTCCCACACAGTCCTGGAGGACAGAAGCTGATCCAGGGTGGAAGGAAGACGGTGAGACTCCAGTCAAGATACGGCGGTTGCGGAGTCTGCGGTGGTTGTGGTGTCTGCTGCAGCGCTTGGAGTCCTCAGGAAGCGCTAGGAGCATCCGTCAACGGAGGGTACTCGGTCGGAGTACAGGGAGCTCCGTTACAGTATTAATTGCTATTTACCACTGGTCTGGGCCTATAGCCCAGCAAACACAACCGTTTCACTAACAATGTTTACTCTGTGTGTCACCCAATCAAAGCTTTTAATTTGTGCGCCACATCATGTTTAACATTTGGGCTACTGCGATGTACAGAAATCAGTTTCTTCTATTGCAACCACAAATAAGGTTAGTGTGCTTATAACAATTTTTTTAATGACCACTTCAAGCACCATAACCACCATAGTGCACTGTCATGCTTATGATACAAGGAGTATCCTGTGATCCTCCCATTGTAAGCAGTACTTGGAGGCTAGATATAGAAGGTAGTGTCAGGAAGCAGTGCCTGTAGTGGCCTTCTTAAGCTCAGTAAAATACAGGGGAGCGAAGAGAGGACACGGATACAGTGTAGTATGCTAATAGCTGGTAGTGATAAATAAAGAAAAATTTGCACTTACAATTTTCTGGAGCTTATATTCAGCTCCAGATATATGCACCTGGATGGTACAATCCAAGTCTATGTATATGATGATGGTCCTGGTACCCTCTCAGAGCACTGATATATTCCATCCCTTACTTAGTAGTACCTGGAGACTGCCTGGCACTGCCCACCACCTCCACTGCAGCCCATAGAAAGCCAGAAGCTGTCTGTCTCATCTAAGCCAGATTGTGCACGACTTAGCTTATTGGCTGAGAGTGATCAGCTGATGTTCTTGCCTTGCACTGCTGGACTAACTCAAATGTAAAATGGTTTGACTACTTACAATGGGAGGGAGGGGGGCAAAGTGATGTAGTGGTCATGTTACTAAGATGAGTTTTATACTAAATAGCTGTGTTAATATCACATGCAATAGTTATGAGCATTAGTTGCACAAACATAAATTCAGATCCATTCATTTTATTTACATTTTTATGTGTAGGCTCATGCTACAATTGTTTAAATTATTATTTTTCTCATATTTCTACACTCAATACTCACAAATTCCACAAATAATGCAAAAAGTATAAGGAACTGCAGCAGACTATTCTAAAGTGGAATTTTTACTTCATAAAAACTGGCAACAGTTCTGTCTCAGGACCTTATCAAGCCACGATGACTTGATGGTTTGAGAAAAGTCTCAGGGCCAAACATTGCCAATAAACATAACAATTTTTAACATTCTGCTGAAATTCTCTCACTCTCATACTTACAAGAGCAGAAGTAACGCATATAATCAGTGGCGTAACCAGAGTTACGGTTGCCCAGGGCAGAACAAAATTTGGCGGTCCCCAATGTACCCCTCCCCCCCTCCCCTTGCTTTCATCCACCCTGTCCCTATGGTTGAAACGCTAATTAAACACATGTAAAGTCTATAGTATTTGCTGATAAAGAACAGTAAAATTTTATTATGAATAAACAATTCGTATTGCAATAGAAAAAAATAACTGGAGACAATTGTATGAATGTCTTAGGAAGTTATGAACATTCAAACCACAGATCCAAGTGCCATTCCTTGAGTTTTGAAGCTACAAGAAGGCTTTACATAAGGACAACTGGGTTTAGTCTTATCATAGAAAATGATAATTCATTACTACATCAATTCCAATATCACCAATTCCAACATTACAACAACTCCCTGAAGAAACTCCGAAACCAGCACAGCATCTTCTAAAACAATACCTCACCTTCACTCAAGCTTATACTCCATCCTCACACCACCTTTTATCTCCCTCCTTCCATTTTATACAAAATATGTGGAAGGCACCCTGAACATCCAAATCACACCTAAACAGTGGCATAGGATCCTTCTCCTCAACCACCAATGCTCTGTCTCCAGTAAAGATCAAGGAAGGTCTTTCAAGTGCCTAATGTGCTGGCATAGGACACCACACAAGCTCCACCAAATCTTCCACGCTGTCAAAGAGCAATGCTGGAGATTTGATGACACACCAGCAGACACGGCTGGTGGCTCTGCCCAAAGATCCAGAACTGGACTCAGATACTTGACATGACAGCCAAGATAACAGGATTTCGCCCACTAGAGACTCCGGCAGCAGTGCTATTACACATAACTCCAATACCACTCATGCTCTACAAGAACTCCTTATTCCACCACCTACTGAATAAAGCTAAAGCTCTCACCCCAGCTTACTGGAATCAAGTGAACAACCCCACAATCAAGGAATGTGAACAAGACCTGCTCACTGATGAATTTAAAGACACATGGACACCATGGATAGACTTCCTAGAATCCACCTCTTTCACATCCCTTGACATACAAGATTTAAAATCTCCCAGATGTTCCACCCTCTAGCCATACCACACAGAAACAACAAGGTGAATAACCTCCCCTCCTCCCCTCCCCCCCGCCCTCATGGATTAATACCTGTTATCTTTTACCATGAGGTGAGCTCTGAATAGGAAAAAGGTGTTACCAACACTATTGCATGTTAGATATTATAACCAATGTGATACTTGTGTTGCTATGTACTACTACATTTTTGTAAGTATGAATATTGCAGTAAGCCTTAAAAAAAAAAAAAACTAAAATGTATTTCAATAATCTTCAACTTTCAACTTTGCAAGATTGTTCAGCAGCAAAGCAGTCAATAACTTTGTCAAAATAAATTCTTGATGACCCCTCATTTTTCTATTGAAAAATTCTGTTCACCACTGGCTACAGACTAGACCTGTGCAATTCATTTCGTTCCGAATGTCAATTTCGGGCAATTCAGACATTCAGATACTTCCGAATGTCTGAATAGCTGAATTGCCGAAGTTCCGAAATTGCCGAATTTCTGAAGTGTCGAAGTTCCAAAGTATTGTAAGCACAGTATTGCTTAAGTACTAATATATCTACCCAGTGGAAGAATGACGAATGTTACACCGTATACAAGTTTAAATACAAAATATACAAACATAGCCAGGATTCAGCTGTAATCATTTGCAACACTTACAACAATAAAGTAACACACATTCATATAAAAATATATATAAAATATAAGTTACTTAGCCAGTCAATGGAATGACAGGAATGAATAAGTAGATAACTCCCTAATTCCCACGGTATTAGGGAGTTATCTACTAAAAGGCTGAAAGACCTAAATTGGTCTTTCAGCCAAATTTACTAATACTAAGTAAAGATGACTTAGTATTAGTAAATTATGCCCCTACTCGCGGTGCCCCTACTCGCTATACCGCGAGTAGGGGCTTGTCAAGTAAACAGTGAGCAGCCTGTGGGATCCAGTGTGGTTGCGGTGAGGCAGGCAGCTGTAAGTGCATTAGAGGGAGCGAGGGGGCTGTAATCCTTCTGCTCTGCTCCCTCGCTAAGCGTCTACTGATGCCGCAAGCCGGAATATGACGTCATATTCCAGCTTCCGGCATTAGTAGATGGCACGCAATGGAGCTGAGCAGAATGATTACAGCCCCCTTGCTCCCTCGCCGCCTCTAATGCACATACAGCTGCCTGCCTCACCGCAACCCCACTGGACCCCAGGGACAGATCCACTCCAGCGCTCCAGGTAGGAAGGCTGGGTGAGCAAATTAAAATAATAAGTGAATGTCTGTCATTAAGTGTGAGAGTGAATGTCAGTGAATGTGTGTGTATCTGTTTGTATGTGTGTAATGTGTGCGTGTTTGTGTGTGTAGTGTGTGTATCTGTATGTAGTGTGGGAATCTGTGTGTTTGTATATGTGTAGTGTGTATCTGTGTGCTTGTATGTATGTTACTGTATGTGTAGTGTGTGTATCTGTTTGCATGCATGTAATGTGTGTGTGTGTGTGTTTGTAGTGTGTGTATCTGTGTATGTGTAGTGTGTAGTGTGTGTTTTTGTATGTATGTAATATGTGTATCTGTGTAGTGTGTGTATCTGTATGTAGTGTGGGTATCTGTGTGTAGGTTTAATTGTACAGTGCTGCGGAATCTATTGGCGCTTTATAAATACCAGTAATAAATAAGATAAATAGGCTGTGCATCTGTGTGTATCTTTGTATCAGTTTGCATGTGTGTAATGTGTGAGCATGTGTGTGTTTGTATGTAGTGTGTGTATCTGTGTATGTGTAGTGTGTAGTCTGAGTATCTGTGTGTAGTTTGTGTATCTGCATGTGTGTAATATGTGTATCTATGTAGTGTGTGTATCTGTATGTAGTGTGGGTATCTATGTATTTGTATGTGTGCAATGTGTGTAGTTTGTGTTTGTATGTGTGTCTCTGTGTATGTGTAGTGTGTGTATCTGTATGTCTGTGTATCTGCATGTGTGGCAGTGTGTGTATCTGTATGTGTCTGTTTGTATGTCTGTGTATCTGCAGGCATATCAGTGTGTCTGTATATCTGTATGTGTGTCAGTATCTGCATGTGTGTTAGTTTTTGATACATATACTGACATACATAGAGTTGCACAAACACACTGATACCCATGCAGATATACAGATACACAACCACTGCCACACATGCAGATACATAGACAAACAGATACAATCATTGACACACATACAGATACAAACACCCAGATACAAACACTGACACACATACATATACACAGACACAGTGTATAGGTAAGTGTATTAGCTGCAGTGCACACACAGACACAAACTACATCCCCAGCATACACACAGACACACACTACATCCTCAGCACACAGAGACACATACATCCCGAGCACACACACAGACACATACTACATTCCCAGCACACACACAGACACACTACATCCCAAGCACACACAGAGACACACACTTCATCCCCAGCACACCCACATAGAGACACTACCATTGCAGAAGCATATATGTTTTGTTTTTTTGGTGTCAAAATGAAGCTTATCGATTGCTTCCAGCCTTTTTCACTGCTCTTCAAGCAACATAAGACCAGTATCTCTTCCATTATTTTCCCCAGACATTTGGTTCTGCCAACAAATTTGTCTCTCCCACAAGTTTGTGTTGGTGCAACACATTTTTTGAGCCTTTTCATCAGCATGTTTGAGCAAAGTGTCATGATTTTCAGAAACAAATTTAGCCAAAACGTACATCTCTAAAGACAAATTTCTAAGGCCAGGTCTGGTTTTCGAAGGTATCAGTTGAGCATCATTGATTTATTACAAAATAGGACTCCATAAGTACAAATATGCAAAGAAAAAGTAATTCATAAGACTTGCAATGAGGCATTTGGCATCAATTTTGGTGCCTGCCGTTTCATTCGATCCATCTCTTACTTCTTCTAATGTGGATATTATAGCATCTACTTAGTCAGCAAGAGCAGGAACTGCATCGTGCCTGGAACTCCACCTCATGTCTGGCACTCTTTTAACTCGGATGGACACACAGGAGGTCAGTACACCCATCTGTGTGTAGACTTAGAAAAAAAAATGTGTACAACCTTTCCAGAGTCAATGTTATAGAATTTGAGGAGGTACTAGCTGCATATAGACAAGCTAAATGTAGTTATCTTCAATCACCACTGGCCAATACACTGCACCAATGAAATAATATGTAGGACAGAAAGGAAAAGTATCAGTGGACTCCAAAGGTACTCATCAACACGAACGTGTTCAGATGAATTATAGTTACAAAACATTTTAAATTCATATTGTTCCATAGATGATACATGCATTTGGGCATTTGCAATATCAGTTCCATTTGCCAAAATATTACTACCCAGTACTCCCATTTTTTATAAAAAATGTTTTGAAGAATATACAAGATGACAGTATTGATTATCAATAGCATTATTGACCCACATGATGATTCATATTTTTCACATTACCTAAGTGGCTAGCATCTATCTCATATGAGTGTGAGCAATGATGAGCCTCCAGGACAAGAGTTGACAACCTGCGGCACTCCAGAAGTTGTGGACTAAATCTCCCCTGATGCTTTGCCAGCATTAGGACTGTTAGCACATTTTGGGAGATGAAGACTTTTTTTTTCTTATGTATGCTTTTCCTTTAGCTGAAGAAACCAAAGAGGCTTCATCTGTAACAGTTCCCACTGCACCTACTGATACGAATACCAGTTGCAATGCCTGCAACTGCAGAGCTCTAATGAATATTGCGAGTCTCAGACAGTATGCCATTTATTTTGATCTTCTTTTCCCAGTTTTCTCATCATATTGTGGTAGAAATATATTATCTCACTGCTCCCTATATATATGTTATATTATCTGAGAAATCAACAAAATGAATGCTGTTCTCCTAAAATAAAAATTATTTTTCCGCGTCACATCGATCTTATCATTATTAGAGTCTAAAGAAATTTTTCTCTGAAGAACTAGGTGGATTAGTAAGCCATTTTCTTACACTTCTACAGTTACCTCAACCAGGCCTTGTTTTGGAGGGAAAAAAACCATGCAATCCTCTATTAAAGCCTAAACTAAGTGCATTTTCATGTTTGTTTGCTGTATTTACAAAAATAAAAGTGCTGAATACTTTAGAATACTTGGTTTATCTCCAAAAATCCTTTCTTTAGGTGGAATGCATCCAAACCGGATGGTTTAGAACATACAGAGCCTCACTCCACGTCCGCTCTTGGGATGAGAGAATTTTAAGTTAGTAATATTTAAATGTAGATAGCACATAGTGAACAATACATACTATCACTAAGGCTAGGCTGTTCAGTTACTGTGCCAATTGCCTGTAAGTCATCTAAAAAAATGTTTAGAAACATGCAAACAATCAAATTAACATGACGGATGCCACAGGAGAACAGACTATATTCTTTTATGAGTACAGAAATATACAAAAGCTAATATAACCAAGACTTTGCCACATTTGATCATTCCAGGCTTGCAATTAGCAAGTGATCTAAAGATATGAGTTATAGGGAAAAAAGGTGCTCCAGGTCTTAGATCTTTGCTATCAGTGTGGATTTTAGAAATTAGCAAATGCATTCTTTTCATTATGCTCTCGAGACATTTATGTTTTGCCTCCCCCCCTCTTCCCTTAGGTTTTGAAAATAATCCCATTTTCATGATGCAATGTGTACACAAGGTCCCCAGGGTGCAGCCAGGAGAATGTTAGGGGGAGATTCGAGTGCCACAGTCTAGAGGACTTGCAATAACACGGACTGTGTGACTGACTGTGAATAGCTTAGCTTTGACATAATGTGAAGTAACAGGTCCCCAGTGAGAGAACTTGGCTCAGCATGAAACACTGGTAATGCTACACATCTTGATAGAGAACAGAACTGGTAGGTCTGTCTGTACGAGCTGGGAAAACCTATTATCCCAATGTCAGAAGAACCTTTGAAATATTCAGAACAGGTATAGAATGAATTCCAGCCATTTATGCAAGGGCCAGCAGTGGATCTGAGGCACTGGTTTGTG